TTGTTGGTTCTTTTAAAATAAAAAATGTGTAAACCTCCAAGGTATTCTATTGAATAGACTGGGTCCCATCTTCTGATAGCCCCCTGCCAGCCTCTTATGGGCTGACACTAACATCATATTTTATTGACTAAATAATTTCAATTTGATTTTTAAATATTTAAACAAACTCGCTGAAATCTTATATTCATGCAAAACCCTCTTTTCCACACTTTCTTCATTATGGGTTTATTTCTTACTGAGACATCTAAGCTTCTATTTCACAGGGCCGCAGGAGAGACAAGCTTAATCTGACATTTTGAGCCAGGAGTCACTCCTTTATATCTCTCTTGCTCAATACATTTACGTATTTTGCTTCCCTAACTAGTAAATCCCTTAATGACAAATACTGTTTTTAAAAATTTATCCCAAATAAATGCATTTTAATGTACCCAAGGTATGAAGAAAATAAAGGTAGTAGATCATTTATGTAAAACACAAAAGAACCAAAATGAAATTCAAATGTAAAATTCATTCCTTGTGTTCTTCAGAGACACAAAATTATTATAAATGAAATTAAAGAATGAGGCCGGAGTCAATAACAAAAATGTTGAACTCATAATGCCATATATTTATTATGACAGATTAGGAATTAATCAGAACACTGAGGTAATGGTAAATAAGAAAATTCAAGCATTTTGTTAATTTTAAATGACCTCTAATTTGTCCCTAAGGATGTGAAAAGCACTTTACAGGAAACTGCATAGACAAAATATGCTTTTAATCTGAAACTTCATTATGTTAGTTATAGTAAATCTCTACCTTCTGAATTTTTTAAAAAATCTACTACCTATAAATTTCCATACCAAAAAAAGAGTCTTTTGAGGACTTTCATGTGTTTAGATTTCAGAGCAGTTGAAGAAAGGAAAACGTTTTTCCTTTAATAATAATATGTTAGAGTAAGAATTTTGTCATGGCATTTAAACAAAGCCATCATGGTTATACCTTTTCTGTGGAGAATTCTTGTCAAATATCACTTTATTAGAATGGTCCTACCTAACAAACCAACCATTCGTCTGTCACTCTGTCATACTGTGGTGGCTTTTGTGTTACCGTGAGGTGGGAGGCTATGCCACTGGTATTTCAAATACCAGTAGGGTCACCCATGGCAGACAGGGTTCAGGGGAACTTCTAGACTAAGACAGACTGGGAAGAAGGAAGGGGCTGTCAACTTCTGAAAAAATCAGCCAGTGAAAACCTTATGAATAGTAGTGAAACAATGACTTATTACCTGAAAACTTGATGAATAGCCCTGAAATGTTGTCTGATATAGTGTCAGAAGATAAGCCCCTCAGGTCAGAAGGTACACAAAATACGACTGGGACCTGAAGTGCTGCCTCCTCAAAGTAGAGCTGACTTTAATGACAGGGATGGCAGAAAGCTTTTGGGCCTCCCTCTGCAGATGGGGCATGACCCAAAATGGGAAGAAACAGCTGCAAACACCTATTAATAATCGAAGGCGGAATGTATGAAGCATGAATTTAGGAAAATTGGAAGTTGTCAAAAATTAAATGGAATGCATGAACATCGATATCCTAGGCTTTAGTGAGGTAAAATGGACTGTTTTGGCTATTTTGAATCAGACAATTATGCAATTAACTATGTCAGGAATAACAAATTGAAGAGGAATGGCCTCACATTCATCATCACAAAGAATGTTTCAAGAGCTATCCTGAATCACAATACTGTCAGTGACAGGTTCAATTAATAGGATTGTTACTTAAATTTATACACCAAACTTTAAAGCCAAAGATGAAGAAATTGAAGATTTTTACCAACTTCTGAAGTCTGAAATTGACTAAGCATGCAATGAAAATGTACTGATTACTGGTGATTGAAATGCAAAAGTTGGAAACAAAGAAGAATCACTGGTAATTGGAAAATATGGCCTTGGTAACAGAAATGATACTAGAGATCACAGGAATCAGATTGACTATATCTGATTTCATATTATTGATCCACAATCAACACCCATGGAAGCAGCAGTCAAGAAAACAGATGTTGTATTGCACTGGGCAATCTGCTGCAAAAGACCTTTTCAACGTGCTGAAAAGCAAATATGTCACTTTGAAGACTAAGGTGTACTTAATCCAAGCCATGGTATTTTCAATCACCTCATATGCATTGTGAAAGCTGGACAATGAATAAGGAAGACAGAACAAGAGTTGATGCTTTTGAGTGGTGGAGCTGGGGAAGAATACTTAAAGTACCATGGACTGCCAGAACTAACAAATCTATCCTGGAGGAAGTGCAGCTGGAACACTCTTCGAAAGCAAGAATGGCCAGACTTCATCTCACCTATTTTGATCATGTTGTCAGAAAGGACCATTCCCTGGAGAAGGATATCAGTCAGTGAAAAAGAGGAAGACTCTTGACAACATGGATTGACAAAGTGGCTGCAACTATGGGGTCAAGTATAGCAAGGGTTGTGAAGAAGGTGCACACCTGGGCAGTGTTTTGTTCTGTTGTACACAGGGTTGCTATGAGTCGGAGCCAATTTAATGGCACCTAACACCACCACCACCACCTAACAGTATCAATAATTCCACAGTAATTGTTCCAAATGTCAAATGCATAAAATTTCTGTATTTCTCTCCTAAATCACCATTCCAGTAATTTTCATAGGAATTAATATGCATATTTACCTTACGTTCACCATCTGTCTGTCTGCACAGGACCCTAAAGTTCTATGACCATGTCTGCAATTTGGAATAAGACTTTGAATAGAAATTTATGTGCTAAATGGAGTCTACTATATTTATTACATAAACTGTCAAAACTAGTTATATTTAGAGAGAGTATTATTTTACACAGCTTTTAATGCAATATGACCTAAATACCTCTGAGTGACAGGGAATATCAAGAAAAAGAGTTGTGTTCTTAAAAGTGGTTTTTAAAGACCTAAGTGCTGTCTACATAGTGCCTAAGGCACTTGACTGCTAACCAGAAGGCTGGCGGTTCAAACCCACCAACCACTCCTCAGAAGGAAGGTTGGACAATCCTACTTCTGTAGTGATACTGCCTCGAAAACCCAAGGAGGGGTCGCTATGAGTCGAGGCTGACTCGATGGCACATAACAACAACAACAACAAAAAGTGCTGTCTACTTCTTCCTTAGCAGATTCCCCTCTACTACACTGTCCACTTCATTCTTCAAGTCATTTTAGCCTTGTTTCTTTAGCCATAAAATTCCCAAAATATTTCACCTTCATCAGCAAGAATGGGTGTTTGTTTTTAATTCCTTGCATCATAACTGTGCTGTTCTTGAAAGGGTAAAGAAGAACTACAGAGTGAAGGAACTCAAGAAGCATATTAAAGGAGGCAGGGGAGAAAGCATCCATTTCTTTGGCTAGTATTTTAACTCTATTTAAGTTCTAGATATATCTACATTTGTTTACATTTGTGAATTTTACATTTACAATAACATTAAAAAGAGTACTAAAAGGTATTGGGCATAAACTATAATAATAACCTGATCTGTTAGGAACAATAATGCATTCTTGCAAATCATAGGAGTCAGACTGTGTTGAAAGGTCAAGTGCGCACTACGATTCCCACATTCACCTTTTGGAACATGCTTGGCACACTCTACCCTCAAGTGAAAGGCAGTGTGATGGGCCATTTGGTAGCCGCCACATGTTAGAAAGTGAAATGATGATTGACAAAGCTATTGTGTTAGAAGGTGTAATATTCATTCATGCAAAGGTACCAAGGGGCACTTTTTTTTCAGCTAAAGATTAGGTCAATACAAATAATTAAAAAGTGAGAACTACTGGTATTCCAGTTTACATTTTTTTTTTTTTTTTCTGAACTGAATTGAATGGAATCAAAAGAATTAAATTAAATTGAATATATGGTCAACAGCAATAGATACTAAATGTAAGCAATAAATAATAAAAGCATTTTATGATAAAAATAGCTTACATAGTATCTCTTAAAACTATTATTTGAATGGGCTTCATCTATAATTTATAGTGGCACACGCACAACTCTAAAAAAAAAAGGTAATAGATCTTTAATAACACTGAGTTGCTAAATCTTTATTTTACCACAATGAGTCTGGTTGAAGATTGAAAAATTTCCATCTCAAGTACCTGAGTGTGATAAAATAATAGTAACCTGAACTCAAAAGATTAAATAGGAACCTTAGAGGGCAATAAGCTTGTGTTAATGAGGGAGGAACAACTCATCAAAGGAGGGTGAGAATGATTATACAACTCAAAAAATGTAATTGATGTCACTAAATTGCGCACATAGAAACTGTTGAACTGGTATATATTTTGCTTTGTATATTCTCAATAACAAAATAAATGAGATTTAAAGAAAACAAAATAATATAACTTGCAGGTTAATTTGACTGGTCTCTTCAAAATCTGATCTATAAATGTTAGCAAAAGCAGCCCAACAAGCGAGGGAACAAGAGATCAAGAAAACAAGGTACTGAATATACAGGTCCTTTTCCATTTTAAAGACTAAACCAGTCCTAGAACACCATGTCTCCTAATTTTTCAAAACAAGAGGTTAGAATTATGCAAGAAACAGAGAGAGCAACATTTACATATTTTACCCTCATGTTTCCACTAGCATGTCTTAATGAGAATGTCACAAAAGCAAGGAATGTTCTGAATAGATAGAATAAATTATAAGATCCCACCTACAGACCCATGACACAGTCCTGCAAATATCTCATCTGAATAAAGCCTTTCTTATTCCTAGATTCACAGAACCCTCCAAATCAGCACTTGACTTGTTTTTGTGTCCTCCTGGCATTATTTATGCCACTTCTGTTATCCTGAATACACAAAAGGGTGCACATACCGTCAGGAGAACAATTTTAAGTAGAGATTTTCGTTCACGAGCTGTAAACAGTGAAACTGCAGAACTAACAATGTGAAGAGGCTATAAATGTCTGTGTTCTCAATACCCAAAGCTAGCAGAGTGAAAAGGAAAAGTAAAATGGCTTACCTCTGGTGTGCTAAGAGCATGTTCTCCAGCTAAAAGCAGCATGCTTAGGCCTCCCATTTGAGTAGGATCTAATTAAGTAAAAAAACAAATAAATCATCACTATACATGCCTGAGGGAGCTCTGGTAGCATAGTGCCTAAGGCACTTGACTGCTAACCAGAAGGCTGACGGTTCAAACCCACCAGCCACTCCTCGGAAGGAAGGTTGGGCAATCCTACTTCCATAGTGATACTGCCTCGGAAACCCAAGGAGGGGTCGCTATGAGTCGGGGCCGACTTGACAGCAAATAACAACAACAACAACAACATACATGCCTGATGTATAATATAATGCATGCAGAGTACAAAACAAAGTACTCACAAAGACTAACAATCAGAAATCCAACAAAAATAAAACTACATATAACATTTTACAGAAAACTGTCACAATTCTTTATTAATAACCTACCACATATGTGCTTAGTATTTATACTTTTGTGAGCTTTTTAAATATTACTGTTGTACTGTGTACAACAATATGTAGTATGCACCACTCCTACATAGCACTTTCTTCAATGCCACAGCTTCATACAACATAAATTACTTTCTACTGTCATGTATTGTTCTTTGCTATATGGGAAGTTTACATAGGAATTGTTAAATAAAAGAATGCTTATGCTTGTTGTCCAAGCAGATTAAAAATCTTATTTTCAAAAATTGTTATTTTGGTCATGTGAAATCAGGGCTGATTAAAAAAATCAGGCCATCAAAATAATGAGAGGGCAGAGAAGTCTGCCAAAATCTTGCGGGCTTTGTTCAAATGATTTTTGTTTAACATTTTCATAAATAAATTTTTTATAAATAAATTAATTAATGATATACTTTCTGACATTATAATCTTAGAGGTAGTCAGGACCTTGCTCTAAGTACCTTAAAGATTTAAAATAATCCTTTTCATGTTGCCTAAAGTCTTACTTTTGTTCTCTTAACAATAAATAAAAATGGAAAGACAAAAGCAAAAGAGCAGTATGGGTGATCTATGACCCAGGGTTACATTAACCCAGAAGTACTGCAGATAATAAGAAATCTTTATTTTCTGAGGTTGTCTTAAATGAATTAAATTTCAGAACTGAAGTGAATTAATATATACAAAAACACCTAACTCAGTGTCTACTGCACAAACCAAAAAAAAAATAAAACCCAAATGCACCATCGAATCGATTCTGACTCATAGTGATTCCCACTGGGTTCCGAGGCAGTCAATCTTTAAGGATGTAAACTGCCCCATTTTCCTTCCATGGAATGGCTGGCAGATTTGAACCACCAAACATCTGGTCATCAGTCAAATGCCTTAGGCACTGAGCCACCAGAGGTCCTTTAGTGATCAAAGGTTCTCAATAAATACATAAATAATGTTAGGAATCTCTCTATAATTGAAAATGGCATTAGTCACAATAGTGCCAAAGATAGCTAGTTCTTTGTTCCTTTCTGATTTTTACGGTTAAAAGTATGACACTAAATAATGCTTCTGTGTACAGTCCATCTTAACAACTCATGAAACAACACTGACCATATCATATATACAATAAAGTTAATTTAAAAAACAGAAAAAAGAATCTGTAGGTTTTTTTTTAATCAAAAAAAGCATGCTGCCAAATGATGAGATGGTCAAAAATAGCTCACTGTTGGAAGGCAGCCACATAGGACAACACACATACAGAAGCCACAGGCAGACACCAACACCTGATTTGATTAAACAAAGCTTTTTGTTTTGTGAAGATTCCATCCTTAATTAAATGGTAAGTCATTTCTTCTAGAACTATTGGGGCTATTAAAACAGATACTTACCTATTTTTATAGACAGTTTAAAACCTACTGAATAATAAAAACTAGGACTAGGAAATGGATTTAGTAGAAGTAAAAGTTTAACTTGGTTCGTTGGCAGCTAAATACTTTTGCAGCTGTCATCCTAGAGATCAGAAGGACTGGATGTTTGCTTTCTAATAAAGATAAAAATGTGTTAGCCCAAATTACAAAGTAAAATAGGAACATGCTTAACATGATGATCACTTAAATTATATACCAGTGCTACTTGGAAAGAAGCTTGCTGTACAGATACTAAATGCAGACCAAGAAATAATCAGTCTCTATTGTAATTTAACCAGGAGCTCTGACGGCACAGTAGTTAAAGTGCTAACTTTAACAAAGGCTGCTAACTGAAAGGGTCAGTGGTTCAAACCCACCAGCCATTCTACGGGATAAAAGATGAGGCAGTCTGCTTCCATAAAGATTTACAGTCTTGGAAACCCTTGAGGGGTTCGATGCTGACTATACAGTCACTATGAGTCGGATTTAAATCAATGGGCAAGGGTTTGTAGTAACTTATACCTATAAATTAATTATTTAGAAATAACAAAAATTTATTTATGTAACTACCATGCTTTCTCTTCACTGAAAGGGACTATACTAAGTCAAACTCTACATAGCTTTCTCTGCTTGGAAATCACGTATTTCACTGCTATGGGGTAGTTCAAATTATCATGAGAGTGAACTATCAGGCAAATAAAATAAAACAAAATCCATGTACAGGAAAAGCCTAGATTGGCTTTACAGGTCCAGTAGTACAAAGACGCCGACTCACTTACTTTGGACACACCATCAGGAAAAGCCAGTCTCTAGAGAAGAATTTCATGTTTGATAAAGTAGAGGGTCAGGGAAAAGGAAGGAAACCTCAGTGAAATGAACAGACACAAAAGGCACAACAACGGACTCAAACACACCAATGGTCATGAACATGGCACAGGACTGGGCAACATTCCATTGCATTATACGCAAGGTCAACATGAAGTGGAATCGACTCAGTGGCAACTAACAAGAACAGTATTCCCTAGGATTGAATAGCTAAGCACAAGGTTTAAAGCAAAATCCTTTAAATCACTTTCATCTTTTCAAAAGGAACTTAACTAAAAATATCAGATCAATGTTATCTACTAGTTAAACAGGGGTTCTGATCATGGCTTTCTAACACATCCTTTTCTAGGTAGTTATATAATGAGATAAATATGAGGAAGATGTTTATCTTCTTTCTTGTACATTGGTTTAAAAATGTTTTAAAAACCTGATGTGTTAATACCTTATTTGAAGTCAAGGTTAAGGTCTCACTTTCAATTTGCGGGCAGAAGGCCAATTAATAAACCAACAGAAATAGGACTATAAACAGACATCCTTCACAGCTTTCTACAATTGTAATAGCCTACAATTACCATGTGGCTTGTGAAGAGCAGTATGCAAAAAGTACATGCAAAAAAAAAAAAGTAGGTTAAAAAAAAACCTATAAAGATATATAAATGATAAGCAAAGGAATTCAGCTAGAGGCCAATCTTCCACATACCTTTTTCCAGTCGAGATAACACCACATAAAATACTCCAATTGATACAATCTGGGAAGTCCAGATTGCTCACCAAGACTAGTAGCAAGAAAGTCAAAGTTCAAGTTGTACCAAGTGACAGCTCAAACAAGGACAGATTTGTTTTGTTTCTTATGGTGTATAAAGGAGGATCATTTTGGGAGCTTACTCAAAATTATAATATAGACAGCTACATAACAATCACCTGGAGACTGTTTCCCTAGAATGTGCCATTAAATTAGATTGCATTTCTTAGCACTTATATTCTACACCAGGAGCTCTGGTGGCTTAGTGCCTAATGCATTTGACTGCTAACCAGAAGGCTGGTAGTTCTAACCCATTAGCCACTCCTCAGAAGGAAGATTGGGCAATCTACTTCTGTAGTGATACCACCTCAGAAACCCAAGGAGGGGTTGCTATGAGTTGGATCCGACTCGACAACAGTGAATTTGGTTTTTGGTATATTCTATACTGCCATGTTCTCTGCTGTACTTTGACTCACACACTGAATTATGAATTCTCATTAGGCCTACTGGCTATAAAAAATGATTTGTCAACACAATGACGCTCAATCTCTTTTGCAAACTTTCAATATTTTGGAAATGGTTTAGTAAACTTTGCTTGTAATAATGACATAGAAACTCAATAGCTTAACACTGACTGCACTGCTTTCACCCTGCCCAATCTCCATCCAATTTTATCCTGGCAAATTCCTCTTCTGATTATTGCATTGCAACAACCAGAAAAGACAGAGCTTTTTCAGGGGTAAATATAGATAAATACTTCTTTAAAGGTAATAAATGCTTTAGCATTCTTTACCACCCAAAGAGTATTAAAGGCTCTATATAATAAATGGAAATATCTGGAATGTTAAATTTGCCTGTACAGGAATGGGGATAGGATGGGAATGAGGGCAAGTAGAACTCCTTTTAAGATACAACTCCCAGATCCATCTCAGATTTGTGATGAAGATGTTCATATTCACGCTTTTGATATTTCAGATACTCAGATGACCCACATATTTGTGGGTTTTTAAACACTGATAATAACTTAGGTGTTTACAGGGATAGCTTGTGTGTGTAAACTATTCTGTTAAGATTATATAATTTGCTGAGCTGCTGATAGTCTATAGATTGACCTCCACATTGCTGTTTGCTTGCCTATATTGTCAGGAATTCACATGTGTAATGACTCTACCACTTGATCTATACATTTTTTCTTTCATTAGATACACAATATCTGTGTCATGCTTCAATGTAATGTATTTCTCACTCACTGCTTCACATTGGTCCTCTTCCTTTTATTCTTCTCTTTGTAAATTATTTGTTAAAAATATTGCCTAAATGTAGTGCCCTGTCCTGAAAGAAGAGATAGAAACAGTGCCCAAACTCACCAGCCATTCCAAAGTTAAGCTGAGGCATTTCTTCAGTCTTTGCTTTCTTGGGGCTTGGCAAGTCTCTTGAAGAGTCAGATGGGAAGGCCCATAGTTTCTTTCGTGGATTAACAGTGGGTGCTGGGGATTTCACAGGCTTGTTTGTTGTAGGACACCACTTGTACCCAGGATTTGCTTTCATAAATGCATCCTTATACTACAAATAAAAGAACAGATAACAGATTTTAATTAATACGTAGGTTGAAAAAGTTCTAATAGGTTCCTCTCCTTTTCTCAATTTATATTCTAAATAAGTAAAATTTCAGTAACTTCTGCGGCACAGGGCTCCAGAATCAGGACATAGTTGCCTACTATCTATTAGAGAGTCCATTTGTGGGATCAGGATACAGAGGTAGCATACTTTGTTTCTTTTAACCTCAATTGTTTTCAGTATCCAAAAAACTGCTTGATTTTGGAGTGAAGAGGCAGTTGTTTTGTAATGGAAAAAGCATGGGCTTTGGAGACAGGAAAACCAGAGTTCGAACAATACCCGTCCCACTTAGGCTTTGGTGAGCAAGGACACAGAACACAACTTCTCTGGGTCTCAGGCTTAGTTTCCATTACCTGAGGCTAATACCACTGAGTTATTACTAACACTGGTACCTAGTGCAGCAGTGATTTCAATGTCCCAAAAAAGCCACTGCCATTAAGTACATTCTGACTCATAGCGACCCTATAAGGACAGAGTAGAACTGCCCCATAGGGTTTCCAAAGCTGCATAGTGCCTAAGGCACTTGACTGCTAGCCACAAGGCTGGTGATTCAAACCCACCAGCTACTCCTTGGAAGGATGGTTGGGAAAGCTACTTCTGTAGTGATACCACCTCGGAAACCCAAGGAAGGGTCACTCTGAGTTGGTTCTGACTCGACGGCAAATTATAACAACAACTATCTTTATTGAAGCAGGCTGCCTACCTCATCTTTCTCCCACAGAGTGGCTGGTGGATTTGAATTGTAGATCTTTCTATTAGCAGTTCAGTGCTTTAATGACTGCACCACAAGTGTTCCTTCTATTTCAAAGTAGGCATCAGTAAACATAACTTTTCTCTCCTTACTCTGTGCAGGGCAAAGGTGAGTTAATATCAGGCAATAACCAGATTCTGCCACTGCTTAATATAGTGTAATAAGTATAGTAAAAAACTAAATCATGTATGCTTGGATGTACTAATAAGTAAGTAAGCACACTTAACACAAAAGTGGCAGTTTTGGGGAAAAGGAACAAGGTTGAAAAAGGGAGATGAGGAATAAGGTAAGTCACATTGGTATCTAACTCTTTAAAGAAACAGGAGATGAGGAGGAAAGTTCACCAGATGTAGAGTCTGATGATGTGGGTTCTACCTCTTCTGTTAGCCAGTAGTGGACATTAAGCCTGTCATCTAACTTTTCTCAAATTCAATTCCTCCAACTATAAAGTACAATAGTATCTGCCAATACTGCAGAGCTATCTAACGAGCAGATGTCATTACATATGTGAATGTGCTCTGAGAGCTAAGATGTGTAACACTGAAATGAATCCATCATAGATTTTAAGTTTTTATTTCCATGTTTCAACCCTCACTGATACAGCTTCTTCTTTATACTCCTATGGCTTCTCCATTCTTTTTTTTTTACCCTCCAACTCCTCTACCTCTTTCTTCTTTGTGGTAACAGCACTAAATGAAATATATTTATTATTATTCATTATATATTGCCAAAAGTTATCTGATACTCATTTTGCATGTACTCTTCAACTATTATGCTATGAGTGCTAAGTATTTTATTGAATTACTATTTTTAATCCTTATACTTATTTTTTTATCAAAAGTCACTCCATGTGTGAAATTAACTAATTCCATTATAAGCTCCAAATTGCTTTTTATGCCATCAGAGAGCCTAGAAAAAAAGTTTCTTTTATCTTTGGTGCAAGGGAAACCAAACCAAACTCACTGCCATAAAGCTGATTCAGACTCACAGTGACTCCGTTGGGTTTCCAAGGCAGGAAATCATTACAGAAGTGGATTGCCCAGCCCAATCTTCCTTCTGCAGAGTGACTGGTGGATTTGTACCACCAATCTTCTGGTTAGCCATCAAATGTCTTATAAGGGCACTATACCACGAAGGGAGCATAGTGGCTAAGACACTTGCCTGCTAACCAGACGGCTGGCGGTTCAAACCCACCAGCCACTCCTCAGAAGGAAGGTTGGGCAATCCTACTTCCGTAGTGATACTGCCTCGGAAACCCAAGGAGGGGTCGCTATGAGTCGGGGCCGACTCGACGGCACATAACAACAACAACAACAACAACCACGAAGGGAAGAATATGTAATCCAAATAACAAACTCTTTCTACCATTTTATTTTAAACCAAATAGATGAAAACTGTAATGGAACTATGAGCAATGTTAATAGTCAATTGCCTAGAATTATTACAAAGTTATTTTAACTCAAATTTTCTGAATTCAAAATCTTACTTTTTTTTCTTTGATTGTATAAGCTTACTGTAAATCGACCTGTTAAATACATGTGTGTATGTAGAAGGTGGTTGTTGTCGTTATTTGCCATTGAGTCGGACCCGACTCTTAGTGACCCCTCCTTGGGTTGCTAAGCCAGTATCATTACAGAAGTAGATCGCCCAACCTTCCTTCTGAGGAGTGGCTGGTGGGTTTGAACCACCAGCCTTCTGGTTAGGCACTATGCTACCAGAGATCCTATGTAGAAGGTAAGCACAAAAAAACTATGATACATTCCCACTTTTCTTACAAAAATACTGAATTCCAAGAGGACACAAGGCCAGAATGAAACTAGAATTTACCATCACATAACAGAATGCATTTGGATTTATCAAATGTGATATAAGAGATATCCAACCATAGTGTGCATTCATGTGCACAGGGGGATTTACATATTAAGCTGAGGCAGACAAATAGCCTTGCCTGCTGTCTGGAGGTGGAAAGTGACAAATGACAGGGGGAGGTGCAAATGGAAGTAGCAGACACATGCATCATTATTGTGTCCCAGTAAAAGGCACATGGTTGAGTTAGTCAGATGAAAAGTCATTTGGACAAAGGTCAACACTCTATAATGTGACAAAAGACTTTCAAACAAATTGATTAACATATTTGTCATGACAAAAGAATCTGACTCATTTTTTAAGTACTTTAAATTCCCTAAGAAGAAAGTCACAGTTGTAAAAGGTGTTAGACTGATAGATGTTAGCAGCATTTGGATTTCTTCCATTTGTCAGGTGAGCCCCAAACCTGTTCCCCGCTCCCCATGTGGATCTACTGGATAAGCTCTTTAACAGCCAGATGTCACACCTGTTGGTAAGAATCATTTAATAATTTGCTTTAGTGAAACCAATAAATGCGGCAGAAATGATAACACTGTCATCCTTATGAATGAATTATTGCCAACATCAACTATTTTTAATGCACTGATGATACTAACAGAGGCCAGCTCCAAATAACTTATGATGGGGAATTGTGCTGCACACGACATAAAGCAGTGACAATCACCGTATCATAATCGTTTTTCTGTCTGTTGCCACCCCACACCTTTCCTTTCTGAAATACTTTGTGAACATCTGCTAGATGACAGACACTAGTGAGCCACTGGAGACAGAAAAGACCATGAATTAGACAGAAGTTCCTGCCTTCATGTTGCTTACAACCCATAATTAGTCACACAAACATATTCTTCTTTTTAATGTGGTCTATAAGCCTTGCCCTGCCTGAGGCACAATAAATAGTTTTGCAAAGGTCCCTAGAGGGGATACTACCTATGGGCTGAAGAACAAAGGACAAGATGAAAGCCTGCAGTGTGATGATTTACCTAGAAAATAATAATTGAGAATTCACTATGACAGTCAATATTCTATCTGTACCACACTATTAATCTTGAGGACTCTGGAACTCTATATAAATGTTCAATACCATGACAACATTCATTAGTTCAATAAAATATACATTGATAACTTTCTCTGTGCAGAAGTTTAAGAATATGGGAGGCAGAAAAAACAATGCACAGTCCTTGTACTTCAGGAGTTTAAAGCTTAGACAGAAATGCTAGAAATATATATAAAAGCACCCAAGTCCATACATGGCAGTGTATAAGCACCTAGCCATCAGCAGAGACAGGAAAAGAGACGCTCAGGGTGTAAGGATGTCTATCTGTCCCCGGGAATTGGCATCTTACCAATCACTTGCTCTGATTCAGCTACAGTAGATGACAGAAAGGCTTAATCCTTTGTTATGATGAGATTATTAGGAAGGATTACTGAGAAGGCTGGGTAAGGGAGAAACTTGGGAGGTATTTTATATCTTCTGAAGTACATGGATAAGTGAAGCTATTAACATCCAGATCAACCAAGTGGGCAAAATTTATCATCACAGAATTGAAAGGGGCCATTAAAGTAAAAATTCACCTTCCTATGGTTTCTACAGTGTTTCTTCAAATTTCTAACGAAAACGTAAGTGAAGTCTACTTTATGGACATAATTCCTGATTTAAGGTGTACATTAAATGCTGGCTCCCTTCTCTGGACCCCTACACCATCGTCCTATTTTATTATCAATAATAGTACATCATCATTACCCCATAATAACATTAAATTCATACTATTTGTCACAGTATTTTTCCCACTTAATATTTTACAATGACAATACCATGTCAAAAGATACGCTATTTTTTAAGAAAATGGTTCACATTAAAGACTTTACCACATCATTTACAAAAGTATAATTTCATCTAAGAATTACTGAAGAATAACATCAATGTCAATAATAGTATTTATGACTGGTATATGAACTGATACACAAATCTTTTATAATTGGTGGATGGATTTATCTGAAAGTCCAAGTAAAATTTCTAACTATTATTACAGTCTAGATCTCTTACACAGAATGAAAGAGAATGATAAATCTGGTGAGGTCCAGTAATAAATAAGGGAACCTGGGAACATGTGATCTATAGAAATAAGGGAACCTGGGAACATGTGATCTATAGAAATAAAGACAGTTGTCTCTTGTTAAAATGCGTAAAGTACCACCATGACATAAAATTATGCAAGAGGAGTCACCTTATTTTCAAAGGAAATTACATGATTTTTGTGAGAGACATAACACATATGTGACATTATAAATAGTCAGTGTACTCTGTAGGGGGTTATTTGAGCTCTAGCAT